TGCAATTCTTTGGGGTTTAAAGAATTCATATTATTAAAAACAAAATCAATTTGTAATATGAATATCTTTTTCTTCATCGACAGCTATTGAATGGAAATCAATAGACGCGACAAGTATATGTACTGTATAGTATTTATCATAAGGAATTTCACTAAGGCCTAGTGAACCAACACCAACGTAGGATAGTTTTGCAACAATTTTGAATAAGACTAACAAAAATAATAACTTTTTCTTTTTTAGGGAGATGGCTAAAGCCCGGTGCGTTTATATATTTTTGATTATTTAATTAAAATTAAAGTAAGGATTAGTTAGTGGTTAAGGTTAGGGCAAAGCTTATAAGTAAAATTGTCTTCCTGCCATTTTTTATTAGTGACCCGAGGAGGTTTAGACACTCGTTTCTCGTATTTTTTACGGTTTTCACTTTTTTTCTTTGTTTTTGTCTTGTCGTGCTGATCCGGCCTGTCCTATAAAGGTGCAGGCTGAAGGTCGACCCACCTATCGACCCAGCCATTAGGCTGGGGTCGACCTGATCTGTTATTAATATCTTTCAAAGTAAACACAGTTTTTATTATCCAAAAGCTTTATAATAACTTTACTACCTTTTTTGTAATTTCTTAAGTTATATCTTCAGTTTTAAAGCAAAAACATTATAATGACGCTATTGTAAAAATAATTCCTAATACTAGTAAAAAGACATGAAATCCATTTGAATAAACAAAATTTAATCATAACACTTATAATTAATCAAAAAAAGAGAAATAATAGAAAAATTTGGTTTGCTAATTAATTACATCTATATTAAAATATATTATTATTTTTTTATACCATTTTTGTGTTTCATAATCTAATTCACGATACTGCCAATTATAGCCGGGCCCAAGATTTTTACAAATTGAGTTAAATCTATCTTTATAGTAAAGAACAAACTCCCGATTTCTTCGTATAAAGATACAACTGATAATTGTTTGTAACCGTTCTAAGGCATTCAAATATTTTTACGATAACTTAATTTGAACTATAAACTTATTCAATACGGAATATTAAACTCGAGACCAAAGTATATTGAACACATTATCAAAGAAACAAAAAAGAACTCAAAAAGTGATCAAGAATGATAAAATTGTGAGATTTTGGCTATGTTGTTTATTTTACTACACAAAAGCCCTTATTATTATATTAAAGAGGGCTTTCTTTATGTTCTGAACAATAATATTTAGAAGCCCAAAGATGGTTTACTAAGTAAAATTTTGACTTTTATATGTAGCAACTGTTTACGATTTTTTTAAGATTTTCATATACTAGTCTTGACCAAAAATGAATTTAATGCGATTAACGAATCATGAAAAGTTCTAAAGGTCACAGGAACGAATTATGTTATTTTGTAAAAATCATAGTAAAGTCTTTAAAATTTATTTTGCAAAAATGACAATAAGCAAATAACTAATTGAAAGAGCAAAATTAAATTCAAATCAAATAGATGTACGGAAATTTTTCAAACGCAATATTTGAATTTAAGAAATGAAATTTATTTCATTTATAAAGCAAAGTTCAAGACTCGAGAGAGAATCGCTTATTATTATCATAGTAAATAATAATAAACGGATTGAATCTCAAGAAATATTTATAAACCAATCTTATATAATACTTCTGTAGTTTTATAATTGCTTACAACTCGGAAAACAGCAACATTTTTTTTGTATTCTTTAAGTTCATTAACTAGACATTTATGCTTCAAGAGTAAGTTACGATTCAGTCCTTCAGCATTATTAAATACATCACCCCGCTTTGAGAAATTATTTTTTTAAATCTCAGAGTAATAAATATTTAAATAATCTCTTTTAAACACTTAGGCCGTTTAAAGTTAATTAGTTGGTTAATGTCATCTCCCCTTCTGGTTAGCAGTTCCTTGAAATTAAACAAGCCAATCACAGCACAGGATAAGTCAATAATCATGTGATTAAAGTTTAGCGATTATCTAGAAATTTTAACTTCTAGCAAAAGTTTCTCAATACTGATTTTTTAAAACCGGCACTTTACCTATCACTACAGGTTAGACTATTTTTGTCCAGGTGAATTTTCCTTCAAAACATTGGTTTATTGAGTTTATTCAGGATAAATTTTTATCAAATAATAATAAGACACCTATTATTTAGGTCTCAGAATTAAGCTTTTGCAATGAATTAAGATAATTTTGCTTATAACTGTCGGCAAGGCTAA